GACTTAGAAACTATTATTTGGTGAGTATGATTGTTCTCATGGCAATAATTTTTGTTTGCAAAAGTCCAATGAGAATCTGATTTCTTCATAGCAGGACACATAACGCCGGTTTCCAATTGTGGTTTTATTTACTAAGACTTTGGAATGTCATGTCTAAGAGAGACATGCCTTAACTGTAGATGTCACCAGAAAGCTTTAAGGATGAAGACTGACTTTGAAGCCAATAAAAGCCCTTTGGAGAAATGGCATTGTACCTCATTTATTCATATGGTTCATGGCAGTCTTTCCAGGTAAGGACTGAAGGTTGCTTTCTGGGAGATGGCAAGGAAGAACCTCAAGACATTTTTGGGACCTTGAGGACTTGATGAACTCACCCAAAATTAGAGGTATTGCTGGCAAAGCCTGATGACAACTGGATGGCTTGGTTTTTCCACCCTGTGGGGCTAATTAAAACTTGATCTAGAGATTCCTTATAATTTTCCAGCAAAGCACATTTAAGAAAGCTTATATTATCAACTGCTACTCCTGTTGTGTTTATGCAAATAATCAGGCCAATTTGAAACCAGATTTAATGTAGTAAATAGATGGGTCTTGATTTGGCTTTTTAATAAAAATGAGGGTGATTTTAGGGGGATAAATTATGTCTTAATAGACTCTATAATACACATTTATGGATATTAGACTCTAGTTCAGATCACTATCTTCAAAGTTTTATTTTTCACTTAGGAACAGAACTGGGTCCCAAATTTTTCCAGCTTTTGCCGCAATAATATTGAGATTTTTAACACAGTTTGTCTCCATCAGGTTACAAGCCCTCCTAATATTCAGGGAATACCACCCTGGACACTATCACCACCTCCTTCAGTGCCCAGGCATCATTGCCCTTCTTACAGGGAACAAGGATCTCTTGACTCTTTAATAAACTATTAATTAGAAACTAAAGAAAAACATATTCCATCTTCAGCAGGAAGCAGCTACAGAAAAGACTCTGTGCCCCCTTTTCCTGAAAGGATTAAGAGCCAAGACCCATGAGGGCAAAATATAGTAAGCAGTTAGACAAGATCAGAGTAAAGAAGATAGCTCATGTACAGAAGGTCACAGTGACAAAAAGCCTTGGGTGCCTAGCAATGGGCATGAGAAAAAAAAAGAAATTAATAAAAAGAGGCCCATAGGCAGATGGGAAATAAAAGAATGATGACTCTGATAATGAATGAAGAAGCCTAGGAGCTCTTTTTAATTTTTTTGAGACCAATTGTTATTTTCCCCCGGGAGCCCAGGTACAATTGACAGTGGGAAACAAATTGACAGATTTTTTCAGTTGACACTGGAGCCACTTACTCAATTTTAAATACAAGAATGACTAAAAGAAGTCAGGAAACCATCTAGGTAGTGGGAATTACTGGACAGATGCAACAAGAGGCCTTTTTCCAACCCCTAGAGTGTTAATTAGGAGATTTTAAATTGTACAAAACCTATCTAAAACATTAATAATTATAGTCAATGAAACTGCTACTTTGCTTGTCAATCTGCAAAAACCTTTAGATTATCTAGCTAAAGTTCTCTTAGAAAATCAAATTGCCTAGACTACATGTTGGTAGAACAAGATGTATGACATCAACAGCTCAGCTAAGGTAGAGACGAGCATCACTAAGATCAGACAACAAGCTACCTGGCTTTAATAAACATTAGACCATCACACACACCCTTTGAAGAAACCTGAGATTTGTTTATGAGTCTGTTCTCATGGATATCTCACGTACTCAAGCCCATATAAAAGGAAATTTTAATTTAGGCTTAATCATTATTTTCTTTATAATTGTTGTCTTTATTGTTTCAAACATCTTCATGACTTGTTTTTCACACACCAGAAAAATTGTATCTGCCCAACAGGCACCTCAAGAAATATATCTGCTTTTAAGTCAGGAGATTTTGCTTTACAATAGGCTCAAGTTTTTCATTTCCCCAGAAGATTCAGAAGTCATCAACAGTCCCATAGATATAGAGAAAGAATTGATAGTAGGGAATTGTAACATGGAGTAAAAACTTTATACTACTATGACTAACCATAAAATGAAATTAGAATAAAATGTACTAACAAACTGATAAAAGGAACTCACATGCTGACAGTTTCCTTATAAGCATATTGCAGGCATAAGCAGTTCCAGTTCCTGCTGTACAAGAAACAGCCTTGACCATGACTTTGGTTAATGTAGATCACCCAACTGCAGGAATTTGGCTAGCACTGACCAGATCCAGTATGCCGACATTAACAATCCATATCAGGACCAGCAAGGACACTGCCTGCACATCCACTGGCCCTCCTCCTGATCTCTTTGTTCTGCTCTCCTTCTCCCCCCCTATAAAAACCCAGCCTGCACTGAGATGCTGAAATGGGCTTTGTGATGAGTCCCCATCTTTTCAGGTTATCAGTACTTAAATGAACCTCTTTCCTGTTTCAGCAGCATCTGTGCCATGAGTTTGGCTTTCTTGGCAGCAGGCAGCCAAACTTGGGTTTCAATTACAGAGGGAAGCTGAAGCCATTGCAGACACTAATAACTGGTTTATTCAACACCCATATTTGACTACACCTTCTCTCCTGCCCTCTCTATCATAGAGTTAGGTAAGTGAAACACTAGATTTTCCCTTCCAGGTAAGGTCCTGTGTCAGATAATAGCGCTTTTGCCAGGAAGGGCTTTTGCAGAATTAAAATGCAAAGCCTTACAAGGCTTTGGTTTTTTGTTTTCTTTATGCCTGAAATTTAGGTTTGAGGTATTAAGACAGGAAGATGAGAGCCATCTGCTAAGGTATATTGGGAAGACTCAGAGAGATTGGGTCCTTGGTGGCTGCACTCAATAGCTCCATTGCCTAAACCATTTCCCTCCAGACTTACTGCTTATGTGAAATATCAGTTTACCAGGCTTTCTCTACCTTAAAGCCAAATGCATCACCAACTGACATGAGTGGTAAGCAATGCTGGGTCATAGAAGGACTTGAATGCTCTGAATAGAAGCTATGACTTCCACATTTGGTACTGGGCACCGTACTATAATTTAGTGGCTGAAAGAAAAGCTTTGTAGTGTGAGAACCTTAGTTAAAGTCACAGCTGGGTCAGTTCTCTCTGTTTAACTTGAGAAGTATTAGCCTCATCAGGGAGATGTGTGATGAAACTTATTTAGAACACTAACTTTAACTGTAGCAAGCTGGACAGAATGGAGGAGGTCAAAAAACATTCTGATGGTGCAGGATTTTACAGTTGTTCTTTGAGACAAAATAACTTTATAACTAAATACCTTAAAACAAATTGCTCTAAAGGTCTTCATAACAGAAAATACTTTTCCTTTTTATTGATTTATTGGAGTGACACTGGTTAACAAAATTATACAGGTTTCAGGTGCATAATTCTACAACACATCATCTGTATACTGTATTCTATGTTTACCATCCCAAGTAAAGTCTCCATCCATCACCACTTATCCCCCCTATACCCTCCTCCACCTCTCCCCATACTCCCCTTTTCCTGGCAATCACCACACTGTTTCCATGTGCATGATCATTTTTCTTATTTTTTCTTTTTTCAACTCCTTTACCCCCCTCTAGTAGCCCCCCCCCCTTGAAGAGAAGCTTTTTGATTTCATGTATTATAAATTCCTATGGCATCTTCCATTATCCCCAGGAATTCAGTGAGGAGTCCAGAAAAAATAACTGGTGAGAATAGCCAGAGCTGAAGGGACAAATCATTTAAGATTCATATTTCATGCTAATATCACTATCTGTGTTTTAGAATCTGTTGATAACCAAAGCAGTAGGAAGTTTAACTCCATTTCCCTTATATATGCTTAAAAGCGCTAATGTTATTCTTCTGGGTCAGGGTTAATTAAGCCTAGGAAGTAGGATATAATTTAAAAGACAATGAAAAATCTTTGTTCCCAAATATCTAATTAAGGATGTCTGAGGGTTCTATATCAGAGATGGTTTACTTTGAAGAATTAAAGAAGGAATCCTGTTCAAAGCAAATGTCTTCAGTAGGAGTAGTACATTTCCATCAGTAACAGGCTAATGAAGATAATCTGAGGCTCAGATTGAGGATAACGGATTTCTCAGTTACATAACTAGTAATTGGCCAATCTGGGATTTAAACCAAGGATTGTGTGTTGGACAGCTACACTTTCACTACATTAGACTGTGGCCAAGCTCATGTCCTAAACCTCCCTGCTCCCTGACCCACTCAGTTTTCAGGTTATACCCTCAAGCTAAAGCAAGTGACCTAGTTGTGATGATTTTCTGCTAGCTCTCAAGGATAGGACTTAGTCACTGTGAGGCTGAGCCTGACATGTGGTTTCATTGAGAAACATTCTAGTTCCTGAATGGTGGAGGAGACACATTTAGGAGTAGAGAAGTAGAGAAGGGCCTTCATTAGACAAAACAAACTATTCAGTAGTTCACAAATTGCCTTACACTGTGCAAACCAGGAAGATGGAATGAATAATTAAGCTTCCTGTCTATTTAAATCAAGCAATATGTAACCCCAGGGTTATTCTAGGCCTATTGATTTAACTGTCCCAAGAACCTGATGGCTTTAGAATCTCTGGCACTAGTCCAGAGGGACATATTTAAAATTTGTCATACTTGTTTCAGGACCACATTCATGAAAAGAGTGTGAGAATTCTCAGATCACAATGCTTATCTTCCTTCTCCCACACAAAGGCAGAGGAAAACGCTGTCCTATTTTCAGGCACAGGTTTGGTACCAAGTTAAGTGACTACTATATGGCTCCTGAGTATAGATAAAATGGTTTCCTGGTACTGCCTTGAGGGACTCTATCAAGAACCCTGAGAATTGCAACTCATAGAGAACATGGCTGCCTTCTAAGACCAAGAGAGCCATGAACTTTGCAGCAAAGTTTAGGGCTCCAAGAAAGGAGGTAATAACACATGAGCTGTTTCATGCTCAGTCATTTCACTTGGTCACTTAGGCTTCTTTTCAGGGCCTACGACACTCACCTCAGACTGCCAGATGGGGTTCACAGTGTTGCCTATGATCTTAGATCTCCTCTCTTGCCCATGGTGAGGGAGGGCAGGGAAAATGCTGTGCTTCCCAGGCTGAATGGAAATCTTCAAGTAAGGGTCTGGGTTGAAAAACATCCCTTTCTTCAACCCCATGGCCTGGAAATCTATAAAATAAATGACATTGTGTTTTAGTGAGGTTGAAGATCATACCAGACATTTCATAAGAAGAAATGTCTATCTAAAACACTGAAAATTTTTTCACTCTTTAGACTGTTTCTACTTCATTAAACATATGGATTGATATGTCTAAAGAACCCACTATGTGAAACATTTAATGGCATGTACAGTGGTACCTCAGTTTTTTAATGTAATCCATTCTGGAAGACCGTTCGAGTTCTGAAATGTTCAAAAACTGAGGGATCAACAGCTGACAGCTAGGCCTCAGGATCTTGCACTCCATGGAAGCCGTGTGGCATGTTCGACTTAAGAGGCATGTTCAAAAACCAAAACATTTACTTCTGGGTTTATGGCATTGATAAACCGAAATGATCGTCAACAGAGATGTTCGAAAACTGAGGTATCACTGTATTAAATTCATTTTGGTGAGAAATCCTTATAACGAATCAATATAACTGGTATTATGGTCACTATGCTTTTTAAGAGGACCATTGGCCCTTACTGGACTGGACTGGACTTAAGGGTTTTTCAGGCAGTTTAAGATAATGGGGTTGGGTGAGTGTCTAAGGGTCACCTCAGAAAACTTGGGTTGACACTGAGAGAGGAAATCCAACCTTGAAATTCTGCAAAGTGGAGACACACAAAAAAACAAAACAAGGGTTGTAGTCAAATAATAAATATGTTCTTCAATATGGCCTTCACTGAATTAGAATTAGAAGAAATAAAGAGAAAGAGGAGGATTAAAAGAGCAAAGAACATGGACAATGGAAAAATGAAAAAAGAAAACATGGCTTCTATGGAGCCAAGTGCATATCAGTGAGGAGAGTTTTGAATAACCATGCTGTCATAAAAGGCAAGACTTTGAAAACAGAATTGTTTCATTTAATTGGAATCATCTGATCCTGTACAATTCCATGCTGGGGGGGAGGGTGTGTGTGTGTAGGGGAGAGAACAAAATCATTTGTAATAATGATTTATAAGTATAATTATTCTGAGATCATTTGAAATCATTTTATATTTATTGGAAATATATTTATGATGTCAAAAACAAAAAGTTTTTTCCATGATTTAAGTGTTTCCCCCTCAAAATTATTCCCATCTACCTATAAATGAATGAAACTGAGGTAAAGGTACATTGAATTGATTCCCAACCATACTATAAATTGTGAGGTGTTTGAGTAATCTGTTACTAATAAAAAAGTACAGATGTTTTCATGTAAATTTACTTATTTTGAGTTGATTTGAGGTTATTTTCATAATGAAATTATTCTTACTCTTTTATGTATTGCCATGAAGGAAAAAAGAGAAAGTTCAACAAGCATCACAGAAATTCACGGGTTGAAGCCATAGGAATATGTGCAGAAAAGAGAGAACACAGTAGCATGAGGCTTTTCTCCTTAGAAAGGCCTGTTTATAAGGTTGGCTCTTAACTAGTATCTGGGAACTTGGATCTCTGGAGGGTACCCACACCTCAGAACTGATAAGAGTGGCTCACTGTGCCTAAACTCTGTGTGTAAACTATGTGGTTTATGCTAAAAATCTGCTTTCTTTCTGGGAGTCTGGAAGCTTGGTATGTGATAGGCAAAGATGCCTATGTGACTAGATCCCAATGAAAACCTTGACAATGAGTCTGTAATGAGCTTACCTGACATAAAACACTTCATATGTATTGCTACGACTTGTTGCTGGAGGACATAAGTGAATCTGTGTGACTCCACTAGGAGAGAACCCACTGAATTTCAACATTGATTTCCATCAGATTTCACCCCAGGCACTGTTTCCCTTTGGTTATTTTGCTTTATATCTTTTCAGTGTAATAAATCATAGCCATGAGTATGATTACATGCTGAGTTCTAGTGAATCATCAAATCTGGGGTGTTGTGGGGGTCCCTGATGGAAAGTGTGACATATAGATTTATTCATCATAACATAATATGACTACCGTCACCTCCATCACGTCTACCACTACCACCTACTATTTATTGGCTAGTTACTAAATTCAGGGAACTAGTCTATGACCTTCAAATACATGATCTGATTTAATTCTAACATAAACTCTATAAGGTAGATATTATATTACTAATTTGAGTAAGAGAAAATGGAGGCTAATAAATTAAATGACTTGATGAAGTTGTCAATATAAAAAATAAAACTGGAACTTTGATTCCCAAATCTGTGCATTTAACCAATATGTTATATTACCTTTCAATAAAAATGCCAATATTTGCACAGGTTAAATTCTCAACTATAAATAGGTCTTTTTTTGTGGTATCTAAGCTTTTGACCTTCATTATTTTCCTTCTCTCTGAATAACCTTTTAAAAACACCTATTTTTCTTGTCTCTTTTAAAAATTAAATTTGTTGGGGTGACATTGGATAATAAAATTTTACAAGTTTCAGCTGAATAATTCTATGATACATCATCTGTATATTGCATTTTGTGCCCACCTCTCAAAGTCAAATCACCTTCCATCACCATACATTTGACCTCCTCTAACCTTCACTATCCCAGCACCTGCCTTTTCCTCTGGCAACCACTATATTGTTGTCTGTGTCTGTGAGTTTCTGTTTGTTCATTTGCTGCTTTCAGTTTTATATCACACTTATGAGTGAAATTATATGGTTCTTCACTTTTTGTGTCTGACATTTTTCTTAGCATGATATTCTCCGTGTTGTCATAAATGGCAGTATTTCATCTTTTCTTATGACTGAGTTGTATTCCATATGTACCACATCTTTATCCAGTCATCTGCTGAGGGACCATTTAGTTGTTTCCATATCCATGCCACTGTGAATAATGCTTCAATAAACATAAGGGTGCATATATTTTTGCAAATAAATGTTTTCAAATTTTCAGGTAGATACCCAGAAGAGGGGTCACTGGGTCTTATTTTTAATTTTTTGAGGAAACTGTTTTCCATAGTGGCTATACCAGCCTACATTACTACCAGCTGTGAATGAGGATTCCTTCTTCTTCACAACCTCTCCAACACTTACTTGTCTTGTTTATAAGAGCCACTGTAATAGGTGTGATGTGGTATCTCATTGTAGTTTGTTTTTCTATTTTTTTTTTAAATATATCTTTATTGATTTCAGAGAGAGGAAAAGAGAGGGAGAGAGAGATAGAAACATCGATGATGAGAGAGTCATTGATCGGCTGCAGCCCGCAACCTGGGCATGTGCCTTGACGGGGAATCAAACCTCGATCGCCTGGATCCTAGGTTGATGCTCAACCGCTGAGCCACGCCCACCTGGGCAATTTTATTTCATCTTTATTGTTGAAAGTATTGCAGATGTCCCCTTTTTTCCCATTGACCCCTCCCACCCCACACCCATTTCTCGCCCCAGGCTTTCACCACACTATTGTCTGTGTCCATGGGTTATGCATATATGCATATAAATTCTTTGGTTAATCTCTCCCCATTTACCCATCCACCCCCACCTCCCTCCAAGATTTGTCAGTCTGTTCCATGCTTCTATGATTTTATCAGTTTATTATGTTATTTAGAGTCCACATATAAGTGAGATCCTGTGATATTTGTCTTTCCTTGCCTGGCTTATTTTGCTTAGTATAATATTCTCCAGGTCCATCCATACTGTCCCAAATCAGAAATAATATATGCACACCTATGTTCATTGTAGTTTTTATTTGCATTTCCCTTAGAGCTAGTGAAGTTGAGCATTTTTTCATATATCTCTTAGCCATTTGTCTGTCTTCTTGGGAGAAGTGTCTGTTCAGGTCTTCTGCCCATTTTTAAATTGGATTGTTTGTTTGTTTGGTGCTGAGTTGCCTGAGTTTTTTATATATTTGGGATATTAACCCCTTGTCAAAGCTGTTGTTTGCAAATATGTTCTCCCACTTGATTGGTTACCTTTTAGTTTTGTTGGTGGTTTCTTTTGCTGTACAGAAGTTTTTAATTTTATATAGTCCCATTCACTTATTTTTGCCTTTACTTTTCTTGCCTTTGGGGTCAAATACATAAAATCTTCTCTAAGACCAAGATCCTTAAGTTTAAAACCTATGTCTTCTTCTATGCAATTTATTGTTCCGGGGCTTATTTTAGGTCTTTGATCCATTTTGAGTAAATTTTTATATGTGGGGACAAGCAGCTGACCAGCTTTATTGTTTTGCATGTGACTTTCCAATTTATCCAGCACCATTTATTGATAAGGTTTTCTTTTCTCCACTGTATATTTTTGGCTTCTTTGTTGAAAATTATTTGCCCATATACACATATTTAATTCTGGGCTCTCCATTGGTCTATGTGTCTGTTTTTTCTGCTAATAGCAATCTGCTTTGATTATTGTCACTTTGTAGTATAATTTGAAGTCAGGGAGTGTGATATCTCCAGCTTTGTTCTTTTTTCTCAGGATTGCTTTGACTATTTTGGATCTACTGTGGTTCCATACAAATCTGATGATTTTTTGGTTTTATTTCTTTAAAAATTGCCAGTGGGATTTTAATGGGAATTGCATCAAAACTGTATATTGCTTTGGGTAAAATGGTCATTTTGACTATGTTGATTCTTTTAATCCATGAACACAAAATATCTTTCCACTTCTTTGTGTCATTCTCAATCTCTCTTAATAATGCCACAGTTTTCAGGATATAGGCCCTTCACATCCTTTAAGTTTATTCCTAAGTATTTTATTCTTTTTGTTGTAATTATAAAATAAATTGTTTTTTCATTTCTTTTTCTGAAATTTATTGTTAGTATATAAGAATGCAATGGAGTTTTGTACATTGATACTGTAATTTGCCACTTTATTTGTTTATTTTTTCTAATAGTTTTTTTTTTTTTTTTGGTGGAGTCTTTAGGGTTTTCTATATAAAGACTCATGTCACCTGCAAAAATGAAAATTTTATCTCTTCATTCCCAATTTGGATGCTTTTTATTTCTTTCTCTTGCCCGATTATTATGGCTAGGACTTCCAGTAATATGTTGAATAACATTGGTGAGAGTGGACATCCTTGTCTTGTTCTTGA